AACGAGTATGTGTGTGTGTGTGTGTGTGTGTGTGTGTGTGTGTGTGTGTTGGGCACGTAATTTGCTCCATGATGCAGTTATCAAAGGGAGGGGAAGAGGCTTTGGGCTGGACAGGACTATGAGTCCCAGTTTTGTTTTAGTACCATCTTCTCTTATCACTTCTATCCCTAAGTTAACTCCCCAGTGCTGGCAACCGGAGTCCTCCAACTACTCTAATTTATGATATGCTGGAGCAATTATTCTCAACCCTGTCAGCACTTAAGAATTACCTGGGGAACTTTTGAAGAACACCAATGTCTGAGCCTCACCCCAGACCCATCAGATCAAGAGGTCCTGAGCCAGGCCCAGACAAGAGGATCCTTGAAAACATTCCTGTATGACTCACACATACAGCCAAGGTTGAGACCCGCTACTACAGAGGTTTTAAAACACATCATCCTGATGCTCGTGAATTATAGCCTGCATTCTGGATATGACTCACGAGCAATCTTGAACCTCAAAGAACTCCAAGAGACAATACAAATCATCGTAAGCACTCATCTTTAGCACACATTCATTTCCGAACAACTTCTAGGCCCTCCCCGTTGCTGTTCCCAGCAGACCTCTCTTATCTTACATCTTGGAGCTTCCCTGGCCAAACATCCAGTGACGTGAAAAAGTAAATATCTTGACAGTTTAGGCTAGTTTGGATGTAGGCTCTTGCTACTCATTGTTGAAAGCAGCCTAACTCCTACAATTCCTCCAGAGACTGCTGAGGACTTGGAGCCAATTGCTGGAGGCCTCACCTGGAATCGTTCCCCTGAGCGTAAGTTTATCACATAGAAAACAAACCGTGGTTATCCAAGAGGGAAGCGGGGGTGGAGGGGAGGGATAAGTTAGGAGTTTGGGATTAACATATACACACTATTAAACATAAAGGAGATAAACAACAAGGGCCTATGGTATAGCACAGGGAACTATAGTCAATATCTTGTAATAATCTACAATGGAAAAGAATCTGAAAAAAAATGCATATAACTGAATCACTTTGCTGTGCACTTGAAACTAATACAACACTGTAAATTAACTATACTTCAATAAAAGAAAAATAAGAAATAAAAAGAGTGTAAGTTTAATGCACGTAGAGTTTACCATGCATCTTTAAACTCGGTTATCATGTTATCTTTCTCACAGCCTTATATATTAGTGAGGCATTACTGGGATTTGTTTTTCACAGACGAGGAGATTGTAGTCAGGAAGTTTTCTGGTTCAAATTCCTAGAGCTAGAAGGGCAAGACCCCCAGGTCTTTTGATTCCTATTCTGTGATTCCTTTCATTGTTTCATCAAAACTACAGTCCACTAATTACACATCAACATTTAGAAATAATTGCCAAATCCAGTATTTATAAGGTTAATAATAACACACACATACTAATTTGCACTATGAATTTCTGCTGTTGTTGGCAAAGTATACTCAATAGTCCCTGAGGAACTTCAGGAACTAAATATTAAATCGGTAATTTTCAAAGTGTGGTTCTAGGAACCCACAGCATCAGCATCCCTAGGAATTTGCTAGCAATGCAAGGTCTCTGACCCTACTCCAGACCTACTGAATCAGACACTCTGGGGTAGGGCCCAGCAATACTCATTTTCACGAGCCCTCCAGGTGATCCGATGCATGCTGTAGAGCCACCATACACAAGATATCTCAGAAAACTCTACCCAAATTCTGGGGGTCACTCGGTAAGGAGTAATATAGAGATACTAAAGCCTGTCTAACCTCGACTCATTCATATTTATTCCAGAGCTCACAGCGTAATCCCTGGGCCCTCTCACTTCCTAGTAGTAATGGACTTGAGATGTTTTGGAGAGACTCTGCCAATAAGCATTCCAAAAGCCTGGATGATTCTTCTTGTTTTTCTTCTTCTCCTCTTCCTCCTTCTAACAGCTTTACTGCAATATAATTTATACACCATACAATTCATCATTTAAGGTATATAATTCAATGGCTTTTGCTATTTTCACAGAGTTGTACCACCATCAGCACAATCAGTTTTAGAACAGTTTTTAAAATCATCTAACAAGAAATTTTGTACCCATTAGCAATCACTCTCCATTTCCCCTCAACCTTTTAGCCCTAGGTAACCACTAATTTACTTTCTGTCCCTATGGATTTTTCTAACCTTGACATATTATA